TGGAGGTTACTGCCGTAGCTAGGCACCACGGTGGGTAGGGACTAAGCTTAGCAGAGTCAGCACCGGCTGACACGCTCTAATCGAGTCGGCATTAGTCGACACAGGCCGGGCTCCCTTCATAGGCATACCCCGGGCGGGGCTCAGCTTCGCATATCCGGCATATCCTATCGTATCTTGTATGCCCTGAAGAAGCAATACAGAGAAAAGGCCTTCGGCACATTCGTGTTTTCTTGTTCTTCCCTTCGTCGTTTCATTCACTCACACACACACATGTGTGTGTGTGTGTGGGTGTGTGTGCTCGTGCGTGTGTGCATACATACGATATAACTCTCACTTACTTGAAATACGACGCCGCTGCCTTGTTTTCAATCTCGGAACACTCTGTAAGACATCATTCTCTGATCAGTCGGAGGAAACTTTGAATGGAGGCATTTTCAGCAATTGCCCTCGTGCTTATTTACTCAGTGACCCACAGACAGGAAGGAAGGGAGAAGTGCCGGGGTTCCTGGTCCCCCCGAGTCTCACTTGTGGTGTTGAGGGTTGAGATTTCGCACCACGGCAGGGTCGACTGGAAGGAGGCGCCGATGTAGAAGATGGTCCAGGCGATCATGATGTTGTAGTAAATGGTCTCCAGCATCACCACGAACACCATCGCCCAGCCTATACCTGGCGCCGAGGAAACGCAATGTGATGTTATAGATATGTTCACACACACACACACACACACACACACACACACACACACACACACACACACACACACACACACACACACATATATATATATATATATATATATATATATTATATATATATATATATATATATATATATATATAATAAATATATCCTACTCTCTCCGTATTGAAATCTCTTTCCCTCATCGTCTCTACACCCTCCCTCCCCTCTCACCCCTCCCTCTCGCTTGTAGCGGCCGTATAAGAAAGAAAAAACTCTCGCAAGATAGGAAAACAGCTCACTGCCACCACCCATTTAATTAACGTATGGGAACGTTAGTGCAATGGTTGTGAGGTGATAGTGTAAAGGAAGAGTGTAGGGAACGGAGAGATAGGGAGTGTATGTGTGTGAGAGAGAGAGAGAGAGAGAGAAAGGTGTGTACATGTAGTGTGCGAGAGTACGGTAGACGTGTTCTTTAAGCCGAGAGTAAAACAAACAAAAATAAAACAATAAAAGAAAGGAGGAGGAGTGGCCGCGCTTTCCTTCCCTTGTGCCCCGTTTTCTATGCAGGCGCGCAGCCCCGGGGCGAATTCGCGGCATTCTCACCCCGCGGAGATAAAACACTGCTAGTTATTGCCCTTCGATATATTTCCGATTTCTTTTGTGCCTGCGGGAGAGTGATAGTGAGAGGGGGTTCTGACGACTTATTTACGTCGTGGTCACGGCGAAAACACGTGATTCACGACATGCTCCCACCCTCCCTCCCCCCCAACCAACCCTGAGGCTCCCCCAGACGCACCTCTGAAGAGGGGACTGATGAACCCGTAAATATTTATTGATCATCGAGTAGGGAGACACTTGAAATTAGTACGTAAAGTTGCCAACACTTCATTTCCTGTTGTATTCTGTGTCCACTCTTTTCATTATTCTGCGTCTGTCTTGCTTCAAACAGGGGAATTATGCATCGAAAAAACATTCAATAAGGTATATATATATATATATATATATATATATATATATATATATATATATACATGTATATATATATATATATATATATATATATATATATATATATATATATATGTGTGTGTGTGTGTGTGTGTGTGTGTGTGTGTGTGTGTGTGTGTGTGTGTGTGTGTGTGTGTGTGTGTGTGTGTGTGTGTGTTGTGTGTGGTGCGTGTGTGTGTGTGTGTGTGTGTGTGTGTGTGTGTGTGTGTGTGTGTGTGTGTGTGTGTGTGTATATACATATATACACACGCACACACACACACACACACACACACACACACACACACACACACACACACACACACACACATATATATATATATATATATATATATATATATATATATATATATATATATATATATATAACCATCTCGATCCCCGCAATAAGCCTTGTCCCTTTGCCATGCGCTGTCAACCTAAACACAAAATACCTGAACAAACCCTATTTCCATAATCTCATTCCTTTGCCATGCATAATAACCTCACAAATTACCTCCGCCGTACTTCATACACAAGTCAGGGAACCGCCAGAAATTGCCTAGGCCTACGGAATAACCCATAAGGGCCAAGAAGGCTTCTTTTTGGTTCTTGTAAGTCCCTCTCTGCTCATAGGGGCCGAAGAGCGTGCTCCCCAAAGTGCTCCCTAGGCTCTGCAGCATCCTGTGGGCAAAATACGTGTAGTTATAATCGGATTCTTCAATCGCATGTGTCAGTATGTACAACCTGCCTGCAGGATCTTGCGCGACAATCAAAATTGAAATATAAACTGATTCATAGTGTGTGTGATGTTGTGTGTGTGGGTGGTGTC